TTCATTTAAGTGTTACCTCTGTTGTTTACATTTTAATTGTTTAGGTTTTATAAAAAAAACTTGTAAATTTCCAGCAAAAGAAAAGGAAAGGCTGCACTAATTGTTACCTCAATTGTTTATTTTTTTAAATGTAGGTTTTAATAAATATTTATGCATAATAAATGTTCATTTAGTTTCACCAAATTTCTGCATGTCTCTCATTTACTGTAATTACATGTATTATATCGGCCAGACTGATTTCTCAATATCGGCATCGGCCATTAAAAATCCCATATCGGTCGACCACAACAAATATCAAAGCAGTTTGAGAGAGTAAGAAAACTGACAGTGGGGGCTAAGTGCTCTTTTGACACGTCACAATTCTCTGATTGGTGGAGATTTATTTTCAGAATAATATAGAGTACAACAGTTGGATTCCAGAATTAAACTCAATTCATTTTCTTCATAAGGAAACTTTGAGCTCCGTGGTTGTTAATCGATTGTATGCTTTTGTTGAACCCATCCATTCGCATGATTTAATTTTTTTTTTAATTAAGCCGCTGAAAAAGTGTGTGGGCACTAGGGTTGCAAAGGGATGGAAAATTGTCACGCCTAGTCAACCACACCTACCTAAAAAGGCTCGTTCTAACACACCCCCACATGTCTACGTCACGATGTGGGAAGATTTGCATAACGCCGCCCAAATGTTCACGCAAAGAAAGGTGGCGTAACTTTTATTCTTGCTGTAGTATTGTTGTTGCCGCTGCCGCCATGTCTTGAAGGCACTGTGTGTTTTGTTGTGAAAGTGAAACTACTTTGTTTGGCCTTCCAAAAGAGGATGATACCTGCTTCCCCATGCCTAGAGCTGATCCGTGCTGGTCGCTGAGGAAATACATCAACTTCGCGCTGTGGATCGCCGGATTGGCTTTCACCGTGGACGAAGCGGAGTCCAGCCCGGGGTCATCACATGTGGTTGCCGCAAGTCCGCCGGTCGTGCCGTTCTCAAGCCCACCCGCCGCCGCTCACTCAAGCTGGACTCCGCTCCCTCTAGGCCGTCGTGTGTGACGCTGTGTGTATTATTGCGAAAGCGAAACTACTTTGTTTGGCCTTCCAAAAGAGGACACGACTAGAAATCAGTGGTTAAGTTGTATTTACAACACTGTTCCAGAACAGTTCAACCCAAATATTCAGATGTGTCCAGCGCATTTTATGGAGGACTGTTTCCTGGATCCTGGTAGAGTAGACTACAATGCCGGCTGTTCTGACTCTCAGATTGTAAGTAAGTTTTTTATATTTAAAGAATTTGCCACTGACGATTCAAACGTGAGTTTTGAGCAGTGTAGAGTAGCGCTTGTTGTTTGTTATTTCTCCGATCACAAATGCAGACATGGTTTTATGTTTACGTGTGATGCAATGTAACGCGTAAAAAGACAGTATAAATCATTATAATCCGTAATTATGTCCCCACTGGATGCAACAAATGCCTCGTTTATAATTGGTTTTAATGTTTTTGTCTCATCGCTCCGGCCGGGACACGGCATCACAATATGGTAAAGGGTAAACTTGTAAAAAAAAGGATAAAAATGGTAAACTTTTTCGTCACACGCTTGAGGTATTCGTCAATCACAACACACTGGATAGCTGGCCAATCAGAGCACACCTCGCTTTACAGACCGATGAGCTTTGTAAAAATCGATACGTTTCAGAAAGGCGGGGCATAGAGGAGAAACAATTATGTACAGTATGTGGAAAATAATGTTTTTTTTTTTACCTTAAACCGCATTAACACATTTCATTACACCAAATACACAAAATAATGTTCTTTTTAGCAACATCATATGACCCCTTTAAAGAAACGGTATCATATGCAAACATTAATATAAACATTTTATTTGGTCACAAGCTGATACTTTTTTTAGGATTCATTAAAGTGCCCCTATTATGCCATTTTTAAGGTTGCTAATATTGATTTATGAGTCTCCTAAAACAGGTTTACATGCATGCAAGGTCAAAAAACACATTAGTTTTCATAAAAAATAGATTTAATTTTACCTAATTTCTAAATTATTCGTAAATGACTCGTGCAAAGCAGTTCTTACAGCTCCTTTCTCAGGAGCTCTTCTGAGAACAGGTCGATTTTGGCCTGTCTAATTAATATTCATGAGCCTCTCTTCTGATTGGCCTGTTGTTTTCTGAGTGACGCATGGCCAGGCCAACCACAGGTAACTAGGGTCAGCCGACGTCACAGCGCTAGCTGGAGGCAGCAAAACAAAGGGGAAACTGGAGGCGGCCCATTCAAACCAGCGGAGATTCGGCTACATAAGGAGCTTAAAATATCATCTTGTTGTGATGTTGGGTGCCAGAATCGACGTAATACAGCCTCAAATTAGAAATTTGATCGCATATCTGCTGCCACTGCCAGACAAAAAACCAACGACAGCTGTGGTTAAACGCGATAAAACGAGCAGACTGGACAGAAACAATCGTCAAAAATGCTTGCGTTTGCAGCGCACACTTCTTATCAGAAAAGGTTAAATAAAGTATTGTTTTTTCTTGTTATGGGCGCGTCTACAGATTTCTTGCCATATGTCTATGTCTATGTTTCTGTCGTGTATGAAATAATGTCTGTGTGCATGTGTATAAAACAACAAACTGACGATTTATATATAATCATTTGTAATTGTATATATATTGTTGTGATTAATTGTGGCTGGAACAATAATGTAGCTGTAAAAATAGTTGCCTGCTGAAACTGAAATGTATATACATCTTCATCATGACTAGATAGACACCGTGAGTTTGTCTTTACTATACATGTTAGATGTGATCCACCTCATAGTAGCAATCCTGTCAGATCGTCCATCCTTTGAGTGAGAGTGTAACGTTACAGGTCGGCCGATCTGGTTTCGTGGTTAAAGTGAACCTTTTTGACATGTTTCCGCAATGTTGGAAAAGGAGAGTGGGACGGTGGGCGGTGCTCGGGGTGGTGACTGTGTAGTTCTGACGTCAACTTTTTACGGAAGTCACAACGGTTCATGAAAAATCACAGCTACTTTATGGAGGCTGTGTGAATTTTACTGTGGACTGACATTTTTTAAACTTATATGGTAGTTACATAGCACCTAGACCTCAGTTATCATGACAGAAAGCCAGGAAATTTCAGTTTTGACAATATGGGACCTTTAAACAAATGTATGTAATATTTATGTAATTTATGTGAATTGTCCACCACTCATTATCAATGACACTGCGGTGGAAGTAGTCAGTAGTATCAAGTTGTTGGGGGTGCAGATCACAGATAGCTTGACATGGACCGTTAACATCGCCTCTCTTGTGAAGAGAGCACAGCAGTGTCTTTTTTGTCTGCGTCGGATGAGAAGAGCACACCTTCCCTCTCCCATCCTCAGTACTGTCAACAAATGCATTATAGAGATCATATTGACCAGCTGCATCTCTGTATGGTCTGGGGATTGTAAAGCCTCTGACTGGAGGTCTGTACGGAGAGTGGTGAGGACAGCGGAAAAGATCATTGGCTCTTCACTGCCTTCCATCCAGGACCTCGCACACAAATGCGGTCCGACTCGTGCTCAAAACATCGCAAAAGACCCCACCCATCCTCATTATGGACTGTTTACGCTGCTGCCCTCTGGAAAAAGGTTTCGCAGCATTCGGTGCAGAACAGTAAGGTTCTGTAATAGTTTTCCACATGCTATCAGACTTCTGAACTCAAAAATAACCTCTTAACCATTTTATTTCACTGAAACTTTTTGTAGTGAGTCTTATGTGTACTAGATGTGGACATTGAAATAACAGTACTTTTTATGATGTGCAATAATTGTACTATATGCTGCTGCTTAATAAGTGCAATAATGTTGTTTTAGATGCTGCTAATTACTATGTGCATTATTTAATATTTATATGCTACTGTCATTCCATTTAGTGTTATATTCTTTTAAATGAACACTGTTGTAATTTTTATTATATCTATATTTGTATACTGATTTTATGGTATGCGTTTAGTTTAGTGCAGTATTTATGAGCTAGTGGAACGGAATTTCGTTCATATGTGCACTCTGTATGTACAGTTGAATGACAATAAAAGCTACCTACCTGCCTGCATACTCACCAAGACGGACATTTAGTCATAATTTTGTGTTCAAGATTCAAGAAATTATCTGTGCATGTTATAGAGGAATGCATAGTGCATGTAGGGGATGTGTCCTCAATAGCCCAGCAGTAAGTGTGCTGTGTGCATGTGATTGAGGAATGTGCAGGGGAGAAATTCAATTAATGGGCACTAATGCACTCTATGGGTAATGCAGATGTTCACCAGGAATTCTGCTGTACAGCACGAGTAAGTGTGTTGCTCACAGTAGGTCTGTCTTTAAAGGCTTATATAAGTTACCATTCAAAATCATTGTCCCCTATGGAGAAACAGAATGGAATTCCTGACTGTTGCACTCCAGGATAATAAAGATATACACATAGGCCTAACTAAATCTGCAAGTACCTACAGATATTTAAATCTATGCAAGTGGAGTAAGCAGTGTGTAATGGGTTATGGTGGTGCAATAAGTCCCATTACTGATGATAAGTCCCATACATGGTTTCAGATAGCACATAATCAAGTTACAACATCGCTGAGGGTTCACACAAGTCATATCGTCATTGTCAAGGCCTTTGATGTGTGTGTGTGTGTGTGTGTCATTCTTAAAGTGTGGAAGTGTAGGGTTTTTGATGCTCATGTGTGGTGTGTTTGAAGAGTATGTGTTATAGTGATGTTGTGCAAGTGTGTTTAATATGTAAGGATGCAGTGTGTACGTATGTGAGGATGTAGTTATGTGTTTAATGTGTGCGTGTGAAGGTGTGATGCTGATGCTGTGTTGTCAACGCTATGAAGCGGTCTGATATGTTTGTTTGGGATGTGTGTGTCCGATATGTATGGTTTGTTGTGACTTTCTCAGGCGAGTGAGAGAGAGCGTGTGTGCTTGTGTGTGTATGTTGTTGTTGTTGTGACTCACTCAGGCGGGTATAGTCGCAGCTCGTCGATGTCCCCCAGGAAGCCGAACAGAGTTCTCATCTGATCACTGCTCACCGCCGACGACAGATTAGTGATTTGAATCACATTCGTCCCGGACATCCCGCTTATTTCCAGACGGAGGTTCAATACTCTGAAATACAACGATGCACCAGAGTGGTCAGCAATCGGCTAGGCATTGACCTGCAGGAGAACTGGTTAGCAGGGAGCGCTGTGGACAGCAGTCACAGAGGATGAGCTCTGCTTACACAACAGCGCCGCCCGCTGGACTGGAGGTTTGAGCTACAGGACTTAAAAGGGTCATATGATGTTGCTAAAAAGAACATTATTTGATGTATTTGGTGTAATGAAATGTGTTTATGCGGTTTAAGGTTCAAAACACACATTATTTTCCACATACTGTACATTATTGGGTAACACTTTAGAATAATGGTCCGTTGTTAACAAGTAACTATGCAGGAAGTAATAGGTAGTACTACATTAACACTTAATTTAATACTATTAACTAATAGAGAAGCAAGATTAACTAAGCAGTAAGTAATAGCAAATTTAGGACAAAGCTAGTTCCTTATTAGATATTTGAGAATTATTCAAAAAATGTATCCTCATTGAGAACTTCTTGCGAACTATGACCAATTAATAAAGAATAACCAATTAATTACTAATCACAACAGTAACGTCTTAAAAGTGAACTATTGGGTTCTTTGTGGAAACTCATTTATGAATATGATATCCCCCAAATAAGTCGGCTACATTTTAAAATTGTGACTACTACTCTTACCAAAGGATGGATGTTCAAACTTAAACATAGAATAATAATAAAAATGAAAATTCACTTAAAAATTGTAATAATTAAGAAGTGATGCTGACAAGCTCATGATTGAATTAGTTCACAATTATGATCTCTGCTTCGTGTCAGTTCAGTATCAATGTATCCCACTCCAAAAGACCTACTGAGCGTTACCTTGTCAGCCTGCAGGAACTACTAGTGATCTGGACCATTATTTTAAAGTGAAAAACACGTTAACCCCTCAGTAATTACTCACAAGTAAATTAATACGTTATTTAACATATTTTATATCTGACATACTGTACAGTCATACATTTGTGTGAAGCACTAGTGATCTTTTACCAGTAGGTCTTTTGGAGTGGGAAACATTGATACTGAACGGACACGAAGCAGAGATCATAATTGTGAACTAATTCAATCATGAGCTTGTCAGCATCACTTCTTAATTATTAACTTTAAGTGAATTTTCATTTTTATTATTATTCTATGTTTAAGTTTGAACATCCATCCTTTGGTAAGAGTAGTAGTCACAATTTTAAAATGTAGCCGACTTATTTGGGGGATATCAAATTCATAAATGAGTTTCCACAAAGAACCCAATTGTTCACTTTTAAGACGTTACTGTTGTGATTAGTAATTAATTGGTTATTCTTTATTAACTGCTCATAGTTCACAAGTAGTTCTGTCACAGTGTCTGGTTGTGGTGCCCTGGTTAGCCACCAGAGGGCACATTTTGTAGTTTTGTTTTGTTTCTCTGGGTCTTCAAGAACCACCTGACGCGAAGCTACAGCCCGTTAGCTTTGCATTCTGCCCGCTTCAGATCAGAAAGAGACAGGCCTGGGTCGTAAGGGTCGTATCTAGCAAAACTAAAAACACTTTTCTAAAAAACACAAAAATGTATATACTTCTTAACAAATGCTCATCTGACTGATCGTTTTGCTAGATAAGACCCTTATTCCTCGACTGGGATCGTGTAGAGCCTTTTGAAGCTGTATTGAAACTGCAATTTGACCTTCAGCCCATTGGGTCCCATTGAAGTCCATTATATGGAGAAAAATCATGGAATGTTTTCCTCAAAAACCTTAATTTCTTTTTGACTGAAGAAAGAAAAACATGAAAATCTTGGATGACATGGGGGTGAGTAAAATATCAGGAATTTTTTATTCCGGAAGTAAACTAATCCTTTAAAGGGGTCCTATTATGCTCTTTTACAAAGCCTTGATTTTGTTTTGGGGGTGTACTAGAACAGGCTCTCATACTAGGTTTTAGTTTAGGTTTTCTCATACATTATTTTTCACATATTTTACATTATTACAACACCTCTCTCCTCAGTCTGGCATGACCGGCTCGAATAGTTCCTGTATCAAATGAAGGCCCGCCTTCTGAAATACGAAATGTGCTGTGATTGGTTAGCTGGGCCAGTCTGTGTTGTGATTGGCAGCACTCGGCTCCTGGTCGGGAAATGTCATGCCCCTTACCATAGCCACCTGCGAGCTTCAGTGTAAATATTGCGTCAAAATCAAATCAATTTGAGCGTGATTTAAACCTGGATGATTGTAACCTAAGTTCATCTGCCTTGGAAAAGCTAGCGTGTCTCCGACATAGTGATAACACTCGTTGCCTTCTCTAGTGCAGCTCAACCAGGTCTCGTCCCATTCGTCGATATTTGTGATATCACAAATCCCGGAAAATATGCGTTGTAGTCCAAACGAGTCGTTTGTTGTACTTTTTGAAAAGTGATTTATGTTAAATAAAACATCTCCTTTTGGAGTGGACTTTGAGCTTTGTAACTTTGCAGATCTTTTTTATGCTCAAACAGCAACATTACAGACTAACTAAAGTTGAAAAAGTGAAAAAGCATAATAGGACCCCTTTAAAGCAGAAATGCAACCACAAGCAGTCAGTTATTTTTTTTCAGACATGGGAAGAAAAAAAAACAATCACGGTTCCTTAACAGTTCCTATAAAGAACAGGGATGCAAACATATTGTCAAATGATGACATAATTTCGACATAAAAAAAAAATAATGTTTTGCTAAATACTTTAATAACTAGTCTCATGAGCCCAAGGAACAACATTAAAGGAAGCCATATGTGTTTGATTCATTAAAAAGAACCACCTCATAAATATATACTTTATATATAAATATATGCTATGCAAATATCATGTAAAATTTCTATTAGCAGGAAAAAAAATTTTCATCGTCTGTATTTCTGGAAATTTCAAACGTTTTGCTCCAAAACAGTTTGGATTCATAACACTGCTCTCCACCCACCAGTCATTAACATGAACACATCTGTAGTTGAACTATTATAGCATCCTTTTGAATGTATTTAAAACAGTGATCTGTTAAGCATTAAATTATTTTTGTTGTTGTTGTTATTAAAGTTATTCTGAAGTTTTATCTGTATGTCTTAATAAAGAGCACAAACTACTTCAAATTGTACAGGTAATTTTCTGCCTGGACTTTATCCATACATTTTTCGGACAGTTCCTTTAACCTTAAAAAATATGAAATTCCTTCATATTAATTTACACTAAAAAAAATGACTCTTTGGCTGATCATGGACAGTGGTTCCACATGTTTGTATCATGTTATTTGAACATGATTAAATCAAGTTATTAGGACATGTCAAATTTTAATTGAGTTTACTCAGCTTGCTTTAGTTCATCCTACATGAAATATCTGAGTTGAGATGATATTTTTACATCATGTAGAACCACACGTACAGCCAAAGTGTTATAATTTCACAGTAGTCAGTAAGATATAACTTTTCTTTATACATATAATGTTAGATGTTGGCAGTTTAAGGATGGTACTGTGGTGTACATCACTAGCATTCCCATTGGAGTTGCTTTTTTTTTTTTAAATAAGTATTTTAGACTTTTTTAAGCAGGTCCTCAACCCAACCACTTGCTCCACACTTCACCACAATGGAAATTCGCACAAAATACACCAATAGAAAGTCTTTTAAAATGCCCACATAATAGAGCATTAGACATGAAAAAGTCTCCCTATTATCTCAATTTACTAAAAAATGCATAAAATAACACTTTATTTCAACGTTTTCTCTCCCCATATCCAGTCATGTGCAAAGCATGATGGGAAGTGTACAACATATTTTGAGGTACTTGATTGAAACATGCTATTTCGAAATGAAAACATTGAGTTAAGCCAAAAAACTGAAATTTCAAATCAATTTAACAAGATGCAGTCATGTTTGAATGACAAACCTGATACATGGTGTTAAATCAAAATAAAATGCATAAACAGCATCAAAAAAAAATAAATTTGAAAATTTGAGTGTAGCAGTTGTTCCTTATTTTTACGTTGTTACGTATGCTGTAATTTATAAGTCAGCTTCACTCAGCAGCCACATATTCATATTATATTTGCTCATGCTCTGCTCTTCATTAATATTATTTATTGTATGTGAAGTTCCCCCAGTAGGCCTTATTTATTGGTTAAAATGAATTCCTTGCCAATTAAAAAAATGGCTCATGGCGCAAGATGCTGAAAACATAGAGGCAACCAAACAGATGAAAGAATGCATGCAGAAGTTCAGTAAGAACACGTCCTGTGTGAATTGTCTGTGCACGTTTTCTGTGTTCACCCGGATGGAAAGCAACAAAAGCAGCCAATTGCGTTGTGAAATGTAATTGACATTCAAGGTTAGATGCATTTGTTAGTCTATATGTGCTAATATGTTCTCTCTTACTTTGAAGCTAATAAAGATTGATGCAATGACGATTCTCTATTTTGGCAGTTTACTCTGGTTCAATTTAGTTTAACTTGAATATACGTTCATTCATTTACATATACATTTAGACATTTGGACATTTTATCCAAAGCGACTTACAAATGAGGACAATGGAAGCAATCAAAATCAACAAAAGAGCAATGATATACAAGTGCCATAACAAGTCTCAGTTAGCTTAATGCAGTAAAGATAGCAAGGTTTTTTTTAATCACATAATAAATAAAAAATAATACACATAGAATAGAAAAAGAATAGAGCAAGCTTGTGTTAGAGGCCTTTTTTGCTTTTGTTAATCAGAAGTCAGAAAGTCAGAATTATAATTGTATAATAAAAAAAGAAAACAAATTGGCCTAGATAGAATGCAAAAAAATTAGAGAAGCAAGGGTTAGTTTTTTAAAATATAAAGAATAGAATTAGAATAGAGAGTGCAAGAGTTAGAGAGTCAAATAAAAATGGAAGATATGTGTTTTTAGCCGATTCTTGAAGATGGACTGAGTTGGGCAGGTCATTCCACCAAGAGGGAACATTTAAAGGGGTCATATGATGCTATTTTAAAGATCATTATTTTGTGTATTTGGTATAACAGAATATGTTGATGTGGTAAGGTTCAAGAGAGTGGAAGGAAGAAGGCAGGGTCGGCTTGCTGGGACGCAAGTTTATTTGAGTCTCTCGTGCACAAAACAAAATATGGCGCTCA